CAAAGATCAGGCTCAACCTGCCATTTAGAAGATGGTGGCAAAGCAACAGGCATAAGCGACAGGGGACAGGAATGATGGCACATGCAACGGGAGCCCCATGGAGCTGTGATGCACTTCAGTGACCTGCCTTGTGTTCTGACAGGCACTCTAGCTGCCCTGTGGAGACCTCCCGAGCAGAAGGGAAACAGGGTGGCAATCTGCCAGGTATGGATGTAAACGAACACTGAAAAGAGGGGAGCAGAGCCTAGGATGTGGCAGAAAGGGGCAAGCTCAGAGGACTGACTCAATGGGCCCTGGTGTTCTCCCAGGAGAGGAGCTATAGAGGGTTCTAAGAAGGCACAGATTCTGGGGTGAAGATGCTTTTACAGTGGGGTGACCTCCAATATTAATGGACTCGGAATGCAGAAGAGAAGCATTTAGGTTGGAGGCAACACGCATGTTCTCACAGAAACTGATTTGTGGAGGTAGACAGGAGGCCACTGGAAATATGGTCTTGTAGGCAAAATCAAGAGCAACAATAGTAGCATGTGTTCCTATTTAAATAGTACTTAAAGTGTCCACGCTTCTGCCCTAAGATTATCTGCATTAACTTTAAACTATCAGAAACTGTTACCCATCATAATAATCCTGTACCCACTATATTAATAAATATTATTAATAATGATACTACCATATACAGGGGAGTCAGAATTCCAGTGCAGGTCTGCGTTTGGCTGTTGTCCATGATTCAATACTGCCCTTCACATATGAGTGCAGATGGAATCATCAGTATGCTGATAAGCCAAAAGAAAGTTGGAGAAATTTGTAGAGTAAGTTTAAAGAATGACTAACAAAGCCTAAGGAAGCCAGAAGTTAGTTACTAACTAGAGAGAAGTGTATAGACAGGAGCCAAGGATCTTTCCTAGATACATAAGGACACATGCTGAGTGCTATGAAGACATCAGGTGTAGACATGGAACTGATGAGAGGCAGCCAAAAGGAAGGAAGCATGGCTTCTTAGTTGACCAAACGATCAACTGTATTTATCAATATGCAGAGAATCATGAACATTCCGGAGGAGAGATCTGAAGTAAGCGGTAAAATGGAAACACGGTTCTGCGAGTGGATGGAGTCGTGGAGACAAAGGAGATGCACAGTTCTCAGGAAAGAGAAAAGCAACTTTCAGAACCAAGGAAGAGGTGATGAGAAGGCCAAGAGCATAGAGGAGAAAGGCACTGGTAGAAAACTAGACAGCAGTTGCAAACACAAATCTAGCTGCCCAGGAATCAGAGGAGACACATACTGCAAGCGCATAGTTGGTCCAGAGAGCACAGGAAGCCCAGTCACTGCGGTGGTCCCCGTCGCAGGACAATCTCATAGTCATGAAGCTTCAAGGCCAGTGCAGAGATTTGCAGCGCACCTGCTTTACGGCAGTGACTCACGGCACTGGCCTCATCTGTAGAGTGATATGTCCAGGAGCCATTGGAGAGTGGGCCTTCTATGGGGCCAAACCATTCTGGGGATCACAAAATATACAACAATCATAACCTAGGGTGCTTAGTGTCTCCTGCCAGTGTCTGGGTGAGTAAGGATCCATCCCAAGGCCACTGAAAGTTAACAGTGTAAGCCATGGAGGGGAGGATGGCTGCGCTCCGTTACAAACGTGAGACAAGCCAGATGTAGCATGTGCTTCATCATGGGGCCTGGTCAGAAAACATGGTGACTGAGACCACTGTATTACTTGGTTCCTGTAGCTCACACCTTCCCCCATCCAGCTCAGAACTCAGTTGTCTCTTTGCCAGGCACACTTGCAGAGGCCTGTGCAGATATGACATAGCTTAGGCAGTTGTCACAAACCCAACGCCACTAAGGCCCCTGGAGAAAATAAATGGCTGCCTAGGGGGTTGTGGTATATCCAACATCAAGCCATATAGGAAGTACCAAGTAAGGTTGGTAGAAAGCTGACACGCATGTGTGATGTACTATTGTAGTTCATTGAGAGCTGGAAGGAACGGAAGAGCTCAGCTGAGACTCACTGCCTGGAAAGAATTTTCTCCTCTGCAAGGTAAAAGGAGTTATCTTTTTAAAACTGATTTTTCTTTTCCTTTTTACTATTATATAATATATGCATCTACATACAAATATATACACATGTATACATACATACATATATATCAGGTTGGATTTTTCCCCACCCTATCCTTTATCTTCTTTTTCACTTTTTTCCACTTTTACTTTTTTCATCTTTCAGAGTGGTATCCTTTCCTGCCCTCCTTTAAACTTATCTTATTATTAACTGTATATTAATTAGTTTAAAAACATTTATCTTATTTTTATCTATGCGCATGAGTACATGGACCTGTGGTGGCCAGAGAGGTTGGATTCCCCAGAACTGGAGTTAGATGTGGTTGTGAGCTGCCACTTGTGGGTGCTGAGAACTGAAGGAGCAGTGTTTGAATGAGAATGGCCCCAGGAGGCTCTTATGGTCAAATACTTGGTTGTCATTGGTGGGACTAACTGTTGAGGAGGATTGGAAGGCGTGAACCTGCTGGGGTTAGTATGTCACTGGGGGTCGACTTGGAGATTTGAACAGACTAGTGTCATTTTCGAGTTAGCACTCTTTACTTCCTGTCTGTGGAGTGAGGTGTGAGCTCTCAGCCGCTGCTACATCACCATGACTGAATGTCTGATGCTGTGCTCCACGTCATGATGATAATAGATTGTTTGGTTTTGAGTCAGGGCTGCTCTTTGTAGCTTGGTTGTCCTAGAACTTGCTCTGTTGACCAGGCTGGCCTTGAACTCAGTTATCCGCTAGGTGAATCAGGAAAACACATAAACACTAAATTTAATAAGGGGACAGACATAATAAAAAAGAAACTCTGATAGAAGTCTATAAAAGCTGAATTGAAAAAATTCAAGAGAGAGCTTTAACAGCCAATAAAGAGCAAAAAGAACCATAAAACTAAAAAGAAAGAAAGAAAGAAAGAAAGAAAGAAAGAAAGAAAGAAAGAAAGAAAGAAGAAAGGCCCAAGTCATCTGAAATTAGCATCCAAGCAGAACAGTGAGAAAAGAACAGTGTGAAAGAGTGAAGTTCAAGGGATCCCTGCTCTGATTCCTGATTGCCGACAGTGTAACCAGCGTGCCATTGCCCCCGACCCGCTGCAGCCTCTGAAACTGTTGTCCAGGGAAGCCCTTCTTCCCTTAAGTCCTCTTCTGCATGGACATGATCAGAGCAACAAGAAACGTAATGGGTCTGAGGCAGCAGTATTCTGAAACCATTTTTCTCCATGGTTGTTTCCTATCCCAGGACCACGAAGGCCAAAGCAAGAGATACCAACCGTAATCCTGCCAGCCAGCATAGCCTCTATTACACAGGGTGCCTTTCTAAATAGCATACTTCTGAGGTAATGCAAATTCAGATCATACTTCACCCTTTTCAGCATTCATCTTTTATCCACTTGGCATTATATTATAGAACACACATTGTCATTAAGAGTCCCCCAAATTACGGATTGAACAGATGTTTGACAACTTTGCTATTTCTCTGATTTAAAGTTGCTTCCAAATTCTGGTTAGATATGAGACAGCAAACATAAAAACGGAAACATTTTGTGCCTCTATCAGTTCTGTGAAATGTGAAAAAAAGGAAAGAAGGATATTACATTGATTTAATATTTCTGAAGTACTTTCCAGACTTTAACAATTGAGATCTTGTGTGTGTGAAACCTGAGTGGCTCACTTCATATATCTGAACAGTGATGGCTTAAAATCATTTAAGCTCATTTATTGGAAAATGTATCTGCACTCCTTGAGTTACTAATGAAGATTGAAACTTTATGTTGCTTTGTAAACAACATATCCTTTACTTATGAAATGTGTGGGGGTTTTTCTTTGTAACTGATACATTCTTTCAGCTCTCTCCTGAAGCCTGCTTTAAAGTTCTTTGACATAGAGCCTTGAAGGGCCAGATGCAATTGCTCTTGTCAAAGTTCTGCTTAGAGAATTCCCATGGTCTTCCTCCACCATTTAAAAGACAGCAATAATTGTGCTTCTTTATGGGGTAATGTTTTGGTACCTTTGTACACCGTGTGTTTTCAACACAGGATACTTAATTTTCCCATTATCTGCTCTTTCTGATGAGGCCATTATAAATTTATCTCTTCTAGGTGTTTGAATTACATAGTTAAATAATCACAACTGTAATTGTTCTCAGTGTAAAGTGCTTATCATTCTCATCTGGGTGGGACCTTGAACCCATTAACGGATGACTTCTCAGCCTCTTTAAGTTCTTGGTGCTGTCAGCATCCCTATGTTTGTGGCCATGCCTCTTAGAACATGCCTAGATTTTACAAATATGCTACCCATAGTCATCTGTTTTGCCTCAGAGGTATCTACATCATATAACTGCTAAAGGGCAAAGTTGTTTATTCTTTACTTTCACGTATGCAGTGAAATGCCATTGCAACTACCAAGGTATCCCAAGCACTGAGCAGGAGATTTCTGGAGTGAGGTTCTGAAAGCACTCTGCCAGTTTTGCCTGTGTTTAAGGCCAGATCTCCAGTCCGAGGAATGCTGCCACAACAAACAGGCTAAGTTCAAAGACTGAGGATATGCAAGTCTGCACTGGAAGTTAACAGAGAGCATGAATGTGAGAGAGTAAGATATCCCTTTTTTAAAGGGGAACACTTGTAAGAAAAGGCAAAATTCTTCACATATTCAGTCTAATCAATCAACTTCTACGCTGTTGACATTTGCTTGTTTTTCTAAAAATTGAAACAACTTTGTGTGTGTGTGTGTGTGTGTGTGTGTGTGTTTACATATTTTTCACTGCAGGGATTGAATCCTGGCCTTGTACATTATAGGGAGGTACTCTGACACTAAGTTACAAACTAGTCCACATTTATTTTTTAAATTATAATTTCACATGTACATATTTATAAACATTAGAGATACATAAAAAAATTCTCATTTGAAGATTATTTCTTAATTTTATTTGTGAAGGTGAATAGTTGATACATTACCTTTGAAACCAGCAGTGCAATGATTTCTTTCACAGTGTTGTCAATCAAATCATCTATTTTTGAATGGTACTGTTGCTAGGTTTTAAAAGACAAAATGCATTAGTGAATACAGACATAAATTCTTCATTGCAAGTTACAACTATTCTGAAGATACTAGTTATGGCACATCAAATTTACTTACAATGATCATTTTGAACATTGAAAGAACAAAGCTGTGACACTGATCCACCCAGTCAACACTCTTTCACATTGCGGTTGGAAAATTTTCCCATGTGTGCCGTTGAGTTAAGCAGCCAATGGGGTTATTACCAGGATGAATTGAGTTCTTATCCTCATTCAGGCAGAGGAATGTGAAGGGGACTTTTTGTCTTCTCTGTAATGAAGGTGGCCCTGTATTTTTTCTAAAGGGTTGGTTTAGCCAGAGAAGCAAAGGGCCTCAAAAAAGATTTAATTAATACAGCATTTCATGTCTGACAACTCTCATTCATAAGTTATTTTAAATGTGCTCTAGAAATAAAATGCGCTACCAATTGTTCTCCCTAAAAGGACTTTTTTTTTGTCAGCCCGGGAGCAGCACTGTATACAATTCTTACAACATGCTCAAACAAGGGCAAAATTAAAATTTCATCAACAAAAGGGAATAGATGGTAACAAATTAATAGGCCATAAAAGGTATAATGAAACAACACTACTCCCCATAGTTTTTTACTGCTTCTTCGCGCACAAGACATCTTTAAATAAAAACAAAATAAAACAAAAAGATGTATTTAAAATAAACCCGAAAGACTCCTTTTGCTTTCTTTAGAAAGATTACTAGATGGTCCCCATTCTTAAATTAGCAGAAGTCTGCGCCCCCGTGGCACATGTAGGCACACCTACTTAAATCAGTGATGCTTCCTCTGGACACACTTATCTGACAGCAGACTGTCCCCAAAGGCCACTTCACAGAACACACGGCTTGTAGAGACTAGCCTTATCCCGATGATTCAAGGCTTCAAGGAACAGGGCATAGTGCGCAGACCAGAAGTACTCAGGTCAGGATAAACAGCCCTGCTTCAGAGCTGCTGGCTCAATGCTTCCCTGAGACCTAAGTTTCTGAAAGCTATTTTTTTTTTCTTTTGTCTGAAAACATGTCTCAAAGTTTCCACACACAGCAAAACATCAACTCATGCTTGCTTTGGAATACTTGGGAGTGATCCTTGTACCCTCGAGGGCTCTAAGAGTTAGAGTGGTCACCATGGACTTGTGTAAATAATAAAGGAAGCATAATGTAGAAGCTGCCAACTAACTTTCTTTTCTTTTCTTCCTTACGGACACATCTGTGTGCGCACCCGTGTGTGTGTGTGGGTGCATGTATGTGTGTGTGCGTATATTGATACTGGTCTCAAATTAAGCACATTCACATGACCACTGCTTCCCGGGTATGTACTGCTTGTTCGGTTTACTAAGAGGCTCGCGGATTCTCACAGTTTTGTTCCCCAGAGGACAAAGGAAATGGACATAGGAGGTGAATTCGCACTGCAGGAGAGTTGTGGCTTTTGCTGTCCAAATACAGAATGGGATAGTAAAGATAAGCGAAGCCGAAGCCAAAGAGCTGACTGGTGGCCAAGGTCGACCTCAGCAGTTGACACTCTGGGCCATGAACATGCTTCAGGGCCAACTCAACCGTCTCACAGCAAGTGATCTGTAGGGTGAGACCCAACAGACACCCTTGCGACAGGGCCTCCCAGCTCCAGCCAAAAGCTGCACAAATAACCGGGTGGTGACAGAACTTATGCAAACGAGCTCTGCCCCTCCCCCCTCATGTCCTGGGCTCCAGACCTGTGTCTGTGCAGCAGAGGAACGGAATGGTTTTCATGGCTCCACTGTGGAGTGCGACTGGAAAGAGACACAGGAGAGAGGCACAATGCTCCCTACATCCCAACGAAGAGCACTCTACAACAGGGAGGTGCTCCTGAGATATGCAGACTCTCAAAGGCGTTCTTAACCATGCCTTGGCCTCAATGCTCTACTTGTCGCATACGTCATAGTTTAACCTTTTAGATAGTCTCAAAATTATTTTATTAATTCCTTTGTGTGTATTTTGCCTCCATGTACATCTGTGTGCTACTTGCATGCTTGCTGCTGCAGGAGGCAAGCGGAGGGCACGAATCTCCTGGGTTTAGAGTGACAGATGGCGGTGAACCAACATGTGGGTGCTAAGAAATGAATTCGGAGCCTCTAGCACAGCGGTTCGCAACCTCTGGGTCACGCCTTTGGTGTTGAACCATCCTTTCACGGGGGTCATCTAAGACCATCAGAAAACACAGATATTTACATTATGATTCATAACTGTAGCAAAGCTACAGTTACGAAGTAGCAATGAAAATAATTTTATAGTTGTGGGTCATCACAACATGAGTAACTGTATTAAAGGGGCACAGCATCAAGAAGATGAGAACCATTGCTCTAGAAGTTCAGGTTCTGCTCTTAAACACTGAGACATCTCTCTGCAGCTTCTGTATTTTAAATCTTAAGAAACAAAACAACCTCACAAATAAGACAATGGAGGTCTACATATTCAATTTCTGCATCGGATTAAATCTGAGAATTCTTAAAATCAGTGATCAGCCATTTATACTTATTTTATTGGAAGGTTCAGAAAACCAATGGACCTCAGAAGTCAAGAAATTCTGAAAATTCACAACCTTAAGTTGTTAACTTTCTATGATACCTGGTCTAGACGTGGTGAGGGAGAAAAAAAGAAAGGAGGAGAGAGAGGATTATGGAGTCAAACTGAAAAAAAAAATTAAAAGGTATGTATCTTTAACGTATTGTTCTGGAGGCAAACAAGTATGTTGGCAGCTGGATCTACACAATACAGAACTCTGTCATTATGAATTCATCCCGTCATCTGGGAACGTGAGCCCGGATGCAGTGTGAACTTCCATATTTTCTGTATCTTTTCTGCAAAGAGAGCAAACCATTGTATATGCTGTGTGAGTATGCCAACTTAGTCCAAAGAAATCTATGAAGTTATCCAACAGGCCTGGCAGCTTCCGAAGGTTACAAAGTAACACTCCAAAGCACAAAAGAGAAAGGGACAAAATTTTTCTGCAAAGCTATTTTTTATTGCCTAAGTTAAAACTCGTGCGTCATTTTCCGCTTTACTGAACAGATTACATTGTTGGTAAAAGTCTTTGTCCTCAGCTACAAAAATCTATAAATGGTGTGTGTGTATGTGATATGTGTGTGCATGTGTGTGTATAGGCATGCGTTCACATGCAAGTGTGGGTTAGGGGACAACCTTGGGCCATGCTTTGGCAGTTTTCCACCTTGATTGTTGATAGACAGTTTCCCTCATTGGTCTGGGGCTCTTCAATTTGGCGGGTCATGCTAACCAACAAGTCTCAGTGGCCCTTGTGTTTCCGCCTCCCTGCCCTCGGCTTGCAGTCCTAAACCACAGACATCTTCTGGCGTCTTCAGGGGACTGGACTCAGGTCCTCATGCTGGCATCCCAAGCACTTCACTGACTAAGCCTCTCCTAGCTCCAAAACCTCCAAATGCTTCTAAAACATTCACATTTACTTCCTTCAAGAATATTCTTGTAGCTGGATTGCCATCCCTAAGTACCACAGAGTTGGCAGAATGCACGTGGTTCAGTCGCAAGCTGATTTCTTTTCCATATCTGTCCTCAAAACCAAACAGGTTATACCTTGTTTCTTCTGGAAGCGAATCTCAATTTACATTTTGACAAGCTCTTAGAAGTCCTTGATTCAGAATCCAGGCACATTTACAATCCTGGCATTCCTACACTCAGGTGAATATCATCCTTTCACTAGACTGCTCACATGCAAATACATTAGAAATGGAGACTAACCGAATGCCAGTGCAACCTACACTTTGGCCCTTCTTTTGGGATGCATTTTAGTAGGATTGGTTTGCTTGTTCTGGGAATGAGAGCATTCCCTTTTAATTGATGACTAATGCTGTAGAAGAGGGACCCCCTTGCTCCTCTGGGCATTAATTTGTTCACATTCTCACATCCTTATTCTCAGCCAATGGGACCAGAGTGAAGTGGCTCTGAGGGCAGATGGATGTCTACAGCATGGGCACTCCTCTGCTTTTCTACAGTGATGGATAATAAGGGTTCTACACAATGGAGTGGTTTTATGATCTCAACATCTGTCCTGAGGGACTGGCCAGAGTCTGCTGACTCATTATAAACATCTGTCACATGAGTAAACCATTCACTCACTAATCACTTCATTAAACTCTATTCTGGGCCTTGGAGAGCACTTTTGCATTATGTGGCACATCAGAAAACAGAATTGCAATCTGGGAACACAGGCAGGCCTTTGGTGTGGTCAGGAGTGGAGGGTTGTTTAATTTCAGCAATGGCAATTTATTAATAACAAATTACCATCGTTCGGTGAGTTTGCTTCATTTCTGCTAGTTTAATTATGTAGTATATGTTTTATATGCCTCTGAAGTGTCCATTAATCTAGTTTTTGTCAACAATCTGTTGCTTTCTGAGCATGGTGTCTACTTATTATTCACCTGTAAAAATATGTCCTAATTTACAACAATTTCAAAATCTGACACAGAGGAAAGAGGGAGGTAGGATGGGAGAGAGAGACAGAGACACACAGAAGTACACAGAGACAGAGAGGGAGGCTGATGCAGGGAAGGAAGCAAGAACAATTAAGTAAGTGTATTTATTGGAGATTAAATGCAACATACATGATCCTTTCCTTTTGCGCGTGTTTACCGCTTTCAGGGTTGCTAATAGGTTTTACCCCGGCACATTCTGGACTATGTTAATTGCGTGAAGTTGTAGGGAAGTAATTGTCTCTGGTGAGAAGGTACAGGTGCAGACATAATGAAGAGTAGCGGATTACTCTTCAAAGAGACTCACTTCTTAAAGAATCATTTGACCACGTGACTGTTTGTCATCTGTGTGTGCAGTGGCTGTTTCTCTTTTTAAAAACCAGAATGACAGAATGAATTGTGGGTTTGTTTTTTTTTTTTTTTTTTTACAGGGGAGGAATTTGAAAGCAGTGGCAACACATCGGCCTGTTCACTTACTCACCACATATTTTCAAGTGCCTGGTACACTGTCAAGTACCGTGTGCATTAAAATAAGAACTAATAAATTTCACACAATGTTTACGAGAAGGTGATACCATAATCTACATGAGAAAAAAATATGGGCTCATGAAGACAAGCAAGATAGTATTTTCAGACAGACAGTCACAGGCTTACATCTGGGTACTGAATAACATGAAGAGGTGATTAGGGGCTGTTGGCATCTGAGTCAGCTGCTTACCCATTTGGATAATTAGTGGTAATAAACCATGTTGTAGGTGATCAGGCAATTACTGAACATTCTGTAACACTGGCAGGTCAATTACTTTCCTATGTGTTTGTCTAACCGTATGATATGGTATTAGAAATATATTTTGCCTAAATTTCACATAGTAAAATATGAGCATATATACATGAATATAAATGAATTCCAAATAGCTACACCTTGGTGTAGACAGAAACTCACAGATAACAGGTCTTCTTAGCTCTCTGTATAGTTAAGTCTCTGTGAAACTGACAGCTAAGTAAATACAGGTGGTCTTACCACTTGGCTCCCAGGTTTCAGCAGAGTGACTTAAAAGAATGAACGTGGTCATAGAAGAAAACGTATTGAATAATGACAACAGAGTACAGCCTGGTCAATCACGTATACGTGGACATTTGAGGGCCTGCACCTCCAAGGAGTGGGTGACATTTTCAGACAATGTTTTACGGGAGAGCGTGGGGGGGAAGATGCGGACTGATTCCTCCCTACCTGTGGAGGCTGGTGCGTACACCCAGGTTATTGTGGGGGCAGTGCTGTGCCTCGCTGGGACTCACACTTATCTTCTTCATTACTAAGTGACAGTGGGTATGGATGTGGTCTCCTGATACCCTGACATAGCTTTATTCTTCCCTGAAGCTCCAAACTATGCAAGAAACGTAACCCCCCCCCTTCACACCTGAAAATATTAAACCACTCTGCCAGTGGGTTTGTGTAGATTCTCTTTTAAAGGATGGTGAATCAATTCATTTGGCTTTAAATAATTTTATCTCTTAAAAAGTGCTAGAGTAGTTTGTAGCTTGTGCAGCCTGAGAGAAAAAGTTACAGTTTGGCATCATTTAAAGTATGTTTATGCGCTGTCAGCCTTGCAGATAAACACAGTGAAGCCTAAAATGCCGTGAGAATAGAACATTATTTTAATTTGAAAAAGATGAAAACAAAAAGTACATTAATTTTAACTTGAAGATGTGCCTTCACCAAACAAACCAAAACAACCACCTCCCCGCTACACACATACAAACCCCAAACCAAACCAAACCAAACCAAACCAAGAGACTTACCCATTGATTCCTAAACTGGATCGTGTGATGGAGGAAAACGAAATAATGACGAAGGAGAACATAGGGGAGAACAAAGAAATGATGAAAAAAAGTAAAGACAACATAAAAAGACACAAAATGTCAATGTGAACATACAAATCTCTGAAATGCAGATCCATTTTCACCCAGCTACAGCTCTCAATAAAAGCAAATGATGAGGAAAGATGATGTGGTTTTGGTTTTAAAAAAACAAACAGACAAAAATAAAAGTGACATAATGAAATATTTACTAATGAGAATTAGTATTTTATTAAAATTTAAATTACATTTTTAGTTATTTTCTGTCTCTGTTTGTGGGGGTGGGGGTGGGGTGCCCTGGCATTGTGCCGATGTGAAAGGATGGTCTGCAGCATTTTCTCTTCCACTATGTGGGTCCCCACGGTTGAGCTGAGGTCCCTGGGCTTGGTGGAAAGTACCTTTACCTACCCAGCCCCTTCACTCAGCCCAATAAGAACTAGTGTCTACTTGTTCCTTCAGAAACAAAAAAACTTTTGTGTAAATACAATTTTTCATATGCTATATTTTTGTGACTTTTTTTTAATGGATGCAAACTCTTGAGTCTTCTGAATTTGTGTAAACAAAGTAGGGAGGTTTTTTAGCTTTCTCATTTGCTTGTAACAAGTAAGGTTTATGTAAATAGTCAACGCCAAAACAGCATATGGGAAATTAAAGGCCACTTGGAAGGTTTTAGCAGTGTTTATATACAAAAGGAGAAGCTTTTCAGAGCAGGGGGACTCCACCCCACTGCAATCCTGCTCCCTCAGACTCACCTCCTGCCCTCCATCCAGGGCACACAGCTTGGTGCTTTGCTTTTTAGCATCGACTAATACATTAAACATTGTGCACACGGAAGCCGGGATGCGCAAGTCAGTTGTTTTGCTTGCCTTCTGCAGCTTGAGTTCAAACGCAGTCCTTGTTCTAGATATTAAAACATGAATTAGAGTAGGAAATCCTGACACACATCCCACCCGTTTGTAGAAGTGAAATCAACACTCCAGGACAACATAAGACATGCAGTTACAGAGTGAGTAGCCTGGTGGAGCTAGGGAGTGAGGTGGGGAGGGGCAGGCGGGATGTTCTTTGCAGGTGTCTGGGGTAAAGGGTACACAGTGATGTTTTTACAGAACACTGTTTAAGTGTCTTCACCAGGGGCTATTTTGAGTGCTTGTCTTATGCAGCCCCTCAAGACAATATAGACACCCAAATAAAGCTTTTGGTTATGTCTAATGTACCATATTTAATAAAACAAAATTCATTTTGCATATTGCTTAAGTTCCAACTAGAAAAACTACGTGTTCTTTTGCATTTAATCAGAAGAGATCCTTTGTGCTAGGGCAGAACAAAAGAGAAAAAATGTACTAGCCTAGGAAAATGAAAAATGGTGATAAACCACAGAAAACTGTAATTAGTATCTGTCGTTTAAATTGTTGCTTAAATGCCTGAAGTTGCAGAGGAAAAAAAAACCCATAAAATAAGTGATTTAGTTTGGTCTTTGTTAAAGAACCCCACCCCAATAATCTGACCTATAAATCTGAGACTTAAGACTCACAGCTGAATTTTTAAAATTAAATAATCCAAATCATAATCTTGCCATAGGAGGGTATTCCCGTTATTCTAAGAACTGGATTTCCTTGGCTCAGTGAGGTTAGAAGTACTCCGTTGTCCCAATATTTGCCTGTTCCTCAGATGTACTCCCCACAAATCACAGAGTCATATAAATGTATCACAAGTGAAGACATCAGGGACACATGTTTGAGATAAATTAAGTGGTCTGCTACAAACCTATTAGCACACAGTGCTGACTGCATAAGAACTTTCTCAAAACAATAAAAGCGTATCTGAGAGACTCTGAAGTCTTTAACTTAATTTCTGGAGGAGTGGTGAGAATGCGCACTGTTACCTGAACTCAGTCTGACACAGCTAGCAAATTCCAGACAGCAGTGAGTAACCTCGGAATGAGGATGATACTAATTGTGTTTTGAGCTCATCATCACACTTCACTACACACAGACACCAGATGCAATGCATAAGAACTCAACCGACATTTCTGTATGACTCAGGAGACCTGCACAGTAGATGTGATTAACATGGTTTGGGTGCTAGTGATGAGCATGGGTGGGGGCCTGAAAACAGCATCCTCGGGTGACGTTCATCAATGACCCGGGTTCCCAGAATTAAGGTCAGAGAATGTAATGTCCAGTAATTCTGAAACAGTGGCTCATACTCAATGCTTTCCTGTGATAATTAAGGAACAGGCGCTTGGTAAAAAGTGGCACTATGGGTGCCGACATCCTGAGCAGCAACTTGAAACACACATCTACCTTTTGACACAGGCCTCTATCATATCACTGGCCATTAGTTTAAGTCTTTGCTCTAAGTGGTGGGCAAATTCTTGTTCTGGCCAATGTAGGTCAAAGACAAACATTTGCAGAGCATCAAGTTTCCAAAACAGATCTTCAGATGTTGTAGAACCGTTGCTAGAAGAAAGAGGAAAAATGAAGAACACCATGAACTTCCCCTGTTAGCAACACGGACCACCCATCCATCCTTTGCGTGTTTCTTGAGTTTCCTTTCTGTCTTATTGCCACCAGTGAAGAATGTCCTCCATACAATCTTTATGATCTAGTGTTCTCGTTGGTTAGCTTTCTAACTCTTCCTTTCAACTTCTTATTAAGGTAAGCCAAAAAGCTTTTAAAAAAAATAATTGTGGTAGTGAGTCTTCTCAAAGAGGACTAAAAGGGCTATGGAGACTAAAAAGAAAAAAAAAAATCAAGATGTGCATATAAGGACAAATATTTTTAGTGTTCTTTACCAATTTCTAAGATAATGATGAATACATAAAATTATTTTCTCTTACAGATTTTAAAAAGTGTTTTGTGCAAGGAAAACGCAGATGCTCACACCAAGCAGTGGCCCTTCCTGCTGTCCATGCATCGATAGTGTGTGCGCACTGCAGCCTTCTTTCTACAGAGGTGGGCACACAGGAAGTGATAGGCGAGGTAGGAAAGCAACCCTCCGCTTCCAGTTGGAGCTGCTCTGTGTTGCTTCTAGCTCATAAGTAAAATCCAACCTTCCAAAAATGGTCTAACCAAGTGGTATTTGAGGTGCTCTGGAACTGGATCAAAACCGTGCATTTGGAGTCTTAATGCATGACCGTGAAGCCAGCATTCACTTCAATGATAAAATTATTCCAGGAAACTGTATTTTCACAGTGTGTGAAGGTACTCTGCAGAAGAGCTCATGCATTATTTGAGAAAGGGATACTAATATTCATTTCAGAACTCCCAAATCCTTTTCATGAGCTAAGTATCGAGCTAATAGGATGACAGATGTTTGGAAGTAAAATACTCCTACATTAGGACACATTGAGACTGAATCACAAAACCAGAACAAAGCAGAAGCAAAAAGGAAAAAAACAAAAGAAACCAAACCTGAGCAACATCTGCTTTATTTGTTCTTAGTGTTCTAACAATTGTTCCACATATATTACACTAAATTTATATTCATACTTAGCAAAACAAAATGAAAGAAATAAAACCTATTTATTATAAGTGCATACTAGAAACTTTAAAACAAATTATTTTAAATAACCTCATTGTTTAGCTAAATATATCTTAATTAGCGAGCTTTAGAAAAATCACCCCTTGCCCTGGCTAATTAAAAGCTTGGTTTCTGCCCTGTACCCTGGCCTTGGTGCCTCAGCTCTGCCTCCAATTTAAGTTGCTATTCCCTGCCCATTCTGCCCAGAATTTCTCAGCATCTCCTTGTCCAGCCAGGTTGTCTTCTGATTTAAGTTCTCAGGGGACCAATCATGACAAAACGAAATAGCACACACAGAATTTTACTGATTATTATCTCTGTACCTTAATGTGTGCTGAATGCAGCGTCAATAAAGACCTGACAAGGCTGGAATGACACTACTGTGGAAAATGTGCAAGACTATACTCTCTTCACTGTATCATATGTACAGGAAGGACATAAAATGATGAAAGGCCAGACAATCTCCCCTCATCTATCCATGGAGTACAGTTAGAAGATGTGTGCTTTTAGAGTGTACTTGGCAAATATGATTTATAAATTTTGGAGGAAGAGAACACTAGAAAGTTGCATGCTTCAGTAAAATACCATCAACAAAAATTATCGTCAGAAAAAGAATTCTCACAGTCAAGGCAAAATTCCATTAAAATCTTTCTTGTACAAAATGTGTTATATCTTTATAGAGACATGAATATGCTTTCCCCCTGCTTAATATTATGTTAAAAATAGAGACAATACATGTGTTTAATTTGGAATTTAATTGGTATAATGAGTGTTTGTTATAATTAAATAGATGAAAAATCATAAATATGTCTTCTCTGGAGTTGGTATAAATAACCCGCAATTTATTCTGAGACTTTTCACTTAAAATTATTTCTAATCAGTGACCTATTCCTAAAAATATTACTTACAGATTAAAGAACTCAAATGTGAATAATGGACCCTGATATAATTCCCTAAGTCGGTAGAAATTGGTCTTAATGACATTCATTTGTAGAGCTAATGACACTCGTCTGTACTACCACGCCTTCCCAAATGATGACTATATTTGTCATCAGCTACCTGACTGCCAACCTCTGGAAAGACTGGGCTCTCACCAGGTCTCCTTGTCAGGAATTCACCGACCGTCTCGTGAAAACCCACACCAGAGTCTCCGTCAGAACGATGACAAATATAGTGGGGGCGCTTGGGGGTGATGCCAGGATTAGGAGGCTGTGAAGGATTCTGTGGGGGATTCCACAGCTCAGGTCATAATTGAGGTAAACCCCATCACCAAGCTAAGCCGCCTGGTCAAGGACATGAAGACCAAATCCCTGGAGGAGATCTACCTGTTCTCCCTGCTTATTAAGGAATCTGAGATTATCAACTTTTTCCTGAATGCATCCCTAAAGGATGAGATTCCAAAGAGCATGCCAGTGCAGAAGCAGACACAGGATGGCCAGCGGACCAGGTTTAAGGTTTTTGTCGCTATTGGGGACTATAATGGTCATGTTAGTCTTAATGTTAAGTGTTCCAAGGAGGACGCCACTGCCACCCAAGGGGCCACCATTCTGGCCAAGCTTTCCATTATGTCTGTGTGGAGAGGCTACTGAGGGACCATACCAGAAAGCCCCACAGAGGGCAAGGTAACAGGCCTCTGTGGCTCTGTGCTGGTGTCTTAACCCTGTCCAGAGACACTAGCATCCATCTATGTCCCTGTGCCTAAGAATCTACTGATGATGGCCATATTGATGACTGCTACACATCGGACAGGGGCTGCCCTGCCACCCTGGTCAACGCTGCCAAGGCCACTTTCAGTGCCAACACCTACAGCTACCTGACTGCCTACCTCTGGAAAGACTGTGCTCTCACCACGTCAGGAATTCACCAATCATCTTGTGAAAACCCACACCAGAGTCTCTGTCAGAGGGCCAAGACTCAGCTGTGGCTAATGCATAAGTGTTTGTATACAAGAAAAATAAAGTGAATTAAATGTGTAAAAAATTAAAGTTAGGAGAATCTCACCGAATGCCATGAGTAGGTAAGAATACATTGTCAAAACCAATGGTAATATACAGATACTATGTATGTCTTTATTAGTTTTTTATTTATGTATGTGGTATTGGGATCAAACCTAGGGACTGACATAAGAGGCTTGCTCTCGTGCTGACCTATAACTCTAGTCTAGTTGACTACGAGGAGTCAACTCTTTAATTTTAATACAAAAAGGAAATGTTTCTTGTTACTCAATGTTTTATTACAAAACATCAAAAAGCAAATCATACACTGGGAAAATGAATATAAATGGAGACCTTATGCAAGGTAATGCAAATTAGGTTCAGGAAGCCAGGTGTCACACAGTTTTGCCAATATACTGGGCTTAAGCTTAAAAAACAAACAAACAAAAGGATCTGGAGGCAGACAGATTTGGGGGGCACCATTTGGGAATAGGAAGCGGACCACTGAGAGAAGAGGGGACAGGAAGGGTAAGGAAAGATGAATCAGAGCACAGCACATGATACGCCCATGTAAGACCTTCATGATGAAACCCATCATCTTATACAATAAAAACATAGCAGTTTAAAACATCAACTGCAATAAGGTCATAACATTATGAATAATCATGGTCACTATGACAACAGAGAACCTAATAATCTTGGTAAAGATTATGGTGATCAACTTGTATAACACATTTTCCACTTGCCTAGAACAATAAAGACACCATCACCCACTTGTCATGATTCCTGTCTTAAGATTCACATCACCTTTGGGTCCCAACAAGAAAAGTGTCAGGTTTCACACAAATCTCCAAGTTAACAGTACAGCAAAATAAGAAACTGAATTATATAGGATAATGTCCACAACATTGTCCTACTAAAATGTAGAGGGAAAAGAACGAAGAAGAGAAGTAAAATTATACCACCAGTACAGAGACCAAAAGTATAAATTTAGAAAGGTTCCCTATGCCGGATAGCTAATTCCTGAACATACACAGAAACCACTCTATATATTCCAATACAAAGAATCTATCTCTGAGAAAAAGACTGACAGGCAAGACCATGGCCAAGTAATGTTGCCAGTGCAATAATGATGTCTAATCTTGGAGAATGCCTGCCAAAGGTTTTCACAAGTTATTGCTTTTCTTATTTTGGTCTTTTCCTGTTTGTCTTCTTGACTGTATATATACTAGACTGAGAGTAGATTTTTATGGACGGTAGTGGGTGGAGAGAGAGATGAGTTTTTGAGCAGTCTGTTCTGTGGAAGCAGAAAAAAGTGTGAAGAATTTTGAGGTCTAAAGACTGCACAACACATACTATGAGATTCTGAGCATTTTTTCCCTTTTCTTAATTTACTTGTGAACGACATTTCCTTAACTATGAAATGAAGATAGTGACACTTACCTTACAGAGTTGTTATAAGGATAAAAAAAGATAAAGAAGTTGGCAGTGTACCTAGAACACAGCAAAATCTGAATACACAGATAAATTCTTAGTAATTTTATCTAATGTTTGTGCTAATTGCTTTAATGTGAGATTCTGGGCAAAAGGCTTTACTGTCTTTTTACATTTGTTAACTAAGTGTATAACTTCTTTAGATTTCTATGAGCCTCTGAGTTCTCAAAAGAGCAAAACTATAGATAATAATAACGGGGATTGTCAGCAACAATGATAATACAGAGTAGTAATTACCATTTATTGGACACCTAGCATGTTCCAACAGTTGTAATTATTTATCAAAAGGATGTCCCAGACACTTTTATAAAACGGTTTTGCCTCTCTCCCACAAACTGTTAGGACTCAACCATTTCTGAGTTGAGGAAAGTGAGGCTAAGAAAAGATTTATGATTCATAGGCTAAGGTTTAGCTCAGACACATTCAACTGTAGAGCCCTTTTTGCTAATCAGAGTTAGTCTGTAGTAGGCTGGCTCTCCAACATGTGGAGTAAATAAGTATGGCTTTTAATGAAATCAAGACTATCTTAAAATGGCAAGGTATGTCTATTGAATAAGGAAAGGAACAACAGAAGAATGTCTTGGCATTGGGAAAAAAAATGAACAGTTGCTTCCCTGCAAGGTCTAATTATGATTCTTAAATGTTAAGACTACCATAAAAAAAAGAACATGATGATATGATTGGAGCCTTCTCCTGATGGTTTTCTCCTGTACAGTATCAATGATGTGGGCAGTAAGGAAGCTGAACTTACCGCAACTGTCAACCATGGGAAACTCAGGATTGGACTACTTAGAGTAGATTCTACAACCTAGGGTTAAAAAGACGGCATCTGCCACACAGACTAAGCATAAGCAGTATCAAACCAGTGTGATTTTTTCTCTCGGTCTCTATCATCTCATATCATCAATATCGTAAGCTCAGATCAATAGCTTAAAAAACTCAAATGAACAAAGCCAAAGACAGTATTCCTCAATCAACAATGATAAAGGCCATGCACTCGGAACACATCTGCACAGAACACAGCCAAGGCCATGCACTAGCTAACACAGCACCAGGAAATAAGTGAGGATACACACGTGGACTCATATAAAGAAGCCATCCACGGAGGAGTAGAGAAGCTAGGAATCTGTGGAAGATTAAGAGGCAGACTTGGAACTTTTGGAAGAGCTACATTGGGAAGACTGTTGGCGATATTCCTGTAAAGAAACAAACAACGTGGGAAGGGACCACCATAAGCAATAACCACAGATGGCTGGAGGTAAAGGCATAAGGTCAGGACTGAGGCGGAGGCTCTCTGGACGCCAGGGTACCTACTTGACAGGCTGCCACGTCTCCTGCTCAAAGCCTCTGTGAATTGACTGGGCGATTGCAGACTCCATCAGGTCAACGTAGCGGACAACCAAGGGCACAAAGATCTCTTGCAGGTGTTTGTGAAATTTTCCATTACATAAGAGTGCTGAAACAGGCAAGCAGAAACAGTGTTTGTCAGAGGGATAATAATATTAGCTACTTGGGAATAAAAAGGTTGGGATTTTTTTTTTTTTCTAAAAGAGTTTCAAATGGTAAAACTGACAGAATACAGATGATAATAAATTTTGTTCTTTATATTGAATATAATATCATGGAAATTAGCTCAAAATTATACTTAGCCTCACATATATATGCCTGTCAAAACAAAAAGTATATTTTCTGCAAAATGTTCTCAGTAGGTTGTATGTTTGTACTTCCTAAGAGGTTTGACACACAAGCACATGACCACTGACTATAAAATCAAGGGAGCTGCTGCCTCCCAGAAGGTCCTGACTCATGTAAATGGAGCAATTAAGTAGAGTCAGAATCCCTTGCTAGGCTGTGTGTCACTGAAGAGAATGCTAAATCTGTTCAACTGTACGAGGTAAGCTTTATTACATCTAAGAACTATACTGCGCCTTCACGTGGGAGGTTGGCTGTGACACTGGGAATATACATTCCTGAGTTTTATTATATCTATTCACTAATTTTTTTAGTTATTTTTGAGGTTTGTTTTTAAGTGTTCACTTTAGCTGATTATTGTGTTTCTGGTAGTTCTGGGGGTTGAACCCAGGGCTTCTAGCACAGTAGGAAAGTGCTCTACCACTGACCTACACTTCCAGCCCCTCTGTATTTAAAAAGGGCACACTGCATTCATTTCATCTTTCAGTTTCCACTAGTCTGATTAATCAAGGTTTGGAATAACCTTTGTAGAGTGATTGTGTAAGTCCCATATTTTGTTTTACTTGGTTAAGGCTGTTGGGACAGGGTTTACCTCCTAGAGATGCAGGTCTTCTATGCACAGATCACAATTTCACTAAAACGTAGGTCACAGTGTGCAGCTAAGCTGCAACTAGAAAGAACAGGATCTTCTGGAGAATACTAAGCAATGCTAACTAAGACTGAAGGATTTTTAAATTTTTTTTTTATTAAATTGTAAATGTTTCTCAAATGGATATACATGAAACACTAGGATGTGTAGGGTATATCCTAAACATTCAGGTTATATCCTAAATGCTCTGTTTTCAAATTGAAAATAAACTCATTAAAAATATATAGTCAGTGGGCAGGAGAGGCATATCTGGAGAGATGAGATTCAGATTTGATCTAGATATCAGAAAAGTCCCCTGTGGGAGGTCAGTGAAGATTGTGGTGGGGCTGCCAGGAGGAGAAAGTAGCAGGTGTCGACTGTTAACAAGCATAACCTTTAGTGACTCCATTGGTCCGGTCACACACTCAACATGCCTCTCACATTATCTTCTCTATACAAAAATGAACAGAACAGTCTTAGGGCTTTAAGACTTTGACAAAGTACATGACATTCACTAAAATGGCATGAACAGGGAATGCTCTCAAGGTATTTCTGGGACCCTTAAATTTGTCAGAGAAACATGGACCTGTGAAAGTGAAGTAGAAAGTAATACTAGGTTTAGGATATGCAATATTGATTTGGCTCTAGCTTTCAGAAGGCTTAGTCTTTCATGTAGCTAAAAAACAACAAACAAAAAATAAAACAAAACAACCTCCAAACCAACCAACCAAACACTACCACCCTTTTCTCAGTTACAGTGCTTGCTGTATCCACATGAGGACCAGAGCTTTGATCCTCAGCACTCATGTAAGAAGCTGGACACGGTGCATACCTGTAAACTCAGTGTTGGAGGCAGAGAAAGGGCTATCTCATGGGCTTGCCTGGATGGCCAGTCTAGCTAAATCTAGGAGTTTCAAATTCAGCAGGAGACTGTCTCTAAAACAATAAAGTACACAGCAACAGAGGAAGACACAAGACTTTGACCTCTGATTTCTGTGGGTACAGAGACATGCACACTAACAAAATCTTCCTTCTCTTGCTTCTGTTGACAAAGAGGTTTCTTATTCTAGTGGGCAAAATTTAATGATAGATGTCTTATTGAGAAGACAAATGTTAATGATGCTTTCAGTAGCACACGGAAGGAAGGTGCATCACTGACTCCCAGAGACTTAAGGCATTGAATAAGGTGTGACTCAGTTACCCTGTAACCAAATTGTCACCTAAATATACTAAGCTTCAAGACAGTATGTTCTCACTTGAAATATCAAACCCATTATGACAGCCCAACTAAGAAGTGTAATGAAATCTTACTCGTTGTATCTTTGCTTAAGATTTCCCCTTCCCGATATTAGTGATTTTGGAGGGTCACACACTGTGTTAAGTTGTATTGCACATTCCATCATTTAACTGTCACAAAAGCTCTGGGACAAAAGACAGATTTTTAAAATTATTAATAAAGAAAGCTAAAGTTTGGAGAGAGTAGGACTATCCAAGGTCATTTAATTGTTAGGCAGTGTATCAAAGGCTTGGCACCAAAGCAACACGCTAATCTCTATATTACAAATCATCATTCCTTTATCTAGGTTACCAGGAAATATTGCCTGTCTGTCTGTCCATCCATTCTTCCATCGGTCAGCACACTATCAGCGCATTATCTTTTAAGACCTACAAGCACAGTGAATGCTTTTACAAAAATATTTGTAGGCTGAGAATATCATCCTTATTAAAACCAGATAGTTTTACATTGTTGTACAGCAAGACTGTATAAGTAAACTTACTTCATATGATGCAGCATTAGAAAGAAAGGAATAAAGGAAGGAAGAACGAAAAGAAAGAAAGAAGGGAGAGAACTTTTGGTTTTCCATCTTGAGCTTCTTAACTGCTGTCACCATTTTACCATACCAAGATCCCTAAAAGTATTACAACTACAAAGGAGCCTGCAACTCTTCAAGTCAAAAGCTCCTTTGCAGAGAGACAGGTGTTTTGACAACGAAGCACAGCTTAATGAACGGCAGAAGTCTAAAATAATTCAACTCCATGTTAATAAACGTTGCAATCACTTAATCTAAGATTAAGTAACAGTTGAGGCAAAAGTACTTCTAGCAAGTGTTGTCCTTAAATATATTTGGGAAGTACTAGATTCATTGTCTTGTTTGATTAGTCTTTTTTTATTTTTCCTTTTTTTTTTTTTTTTTTTTTTAAAGAGAGTGAGATAAGTTGAAGGTGAATGGACAGGGAGGTGAAGAGCATCTGGTATGATGTAGGGGAGAGTAAAAAATATCAAAACATTGTATAAAAAGAATTAATTGAAAATGTATTGAAAGAAGTAAAAGCATTATATTAAATTCTCCAAGCAGGTATTCCCACCTGAGAGGAAAAGTAGGTATTCTCTGTCTCAACCCTACCCCAGCATCACAGAGGTGGGTACCACAAGCCTGTCCTTCTCTCCCTACATCTAATCCCTAATTAAGACCTGTGTATCTTCTGGCCCTCATATCTTTGCATTAGGTCCCTCCTCTGCTTATCAGCCCTGGGGCTGTGTAGTCTACTTTTCTTTTCTGTCACTACTCAGTCATTTCCGGATTGGTCATTGGGCTCCTAGTTTTTCCCTTGGACAGCTCATCTTCTCAAAGTGTGAGAGGGGCTGGCAAAAACTGTAACACAAACTATCCCCACTCCCTTCCCAGAGTATAACCCTATGTGCCACTCAAATGAACTGAAAAGTCTTAGCAAGGCAAGAAGGCCCTCCTATCCTACATTGGTTCTTGAGTCTCATATTTTCTGTGGAATAACTGTCGTTATTTTCATGAGTTACTTAAATCCTTATATTTTTTCATAAGTATTTTCTTCTACCCCTCTTCCTTGACCAGTTACTGCTTTCTGTATTTACTTTAAAATTATTTATTTATTTATTTATTTATTTATTTATTTATTCATTTTGTATCCCAGCTGTAGCCCCCTCGCTCGTCCCCTCCCAATCCCACCCTCCCTCCTTCATATCCTCCCATATCCCTCCCCAAGTCCACTGACAGGGGAGGTCCTCCTCCCCTTCCATCTGACCCTTAGTCTATCAGGTCTCATCAGGACTGGCTGCATTGTCTTCCTCTGTGTCCTGGCAAGGCTGCTACACCATGGGGGGGGGGGGGTATCAAAGAGCCAGCTTCTGAGTTCTTGTCAGAGACAGTACCTGTTCCCCTCACCAGGGAACCCACTTGGATATACTGAAATGCCATGGGCTACATCTGTGCAGGGGTTCTAGTTTATCTCCATGCACAGTCCTTAGTTGGAATATCAGTCTCAGAAAAGACCCCTGTGCCTAGAAGTTTTGGTTCTGTTGCTCTCCTTGTGCTCTTCATCCTGTTAGCTGATGTTGTTTTCTTCCTCCACCCTTTCTCCCTATAACAGTACTTGCCCTGGAGATGAAGCTCACGGCTGTGTTCTCAGTATTGAGCTGAGGCCTGGTTTAGAATAAGTGTTTAGGTGTTTAATGTATGAACAAATATTTGGGTAAAGGACTGAGCTATTATATCTTTTCTTGTGAGGCTGTATCAAATGACAGTTATATAACCAGTTGAGGCCTGTATAGCCTTCACATTTTATATAAAATATGTCATTAGATGATGCTGTCATGATACAGTTCTGTTACTGATTCATAAATCCAAGATCTGACATCTAAAATTTGTACTGTGTATAAAGATCTCTTATTTTAATGAACATGGCACAAGGAGATCTTTTTCTGGTCATTTATTACTATTAGCAATATGATTATTTAGTGCATAATTTTTAGAAAATACAGATTAGCTATAGTTACGAATTTTTATAGCAAACAATGAATTTTGGCTAGTAGTTTGCTCCAATTTCAGCTTAGACTTGCCTTTAACTTTTTGGGAGTACTAGAGACTGAATCCATGGGCTAGGTACTTACTTTACAATGTAATATATCTCTTGCCTTTCTTTTTGATTTTTTTAAAGCCACATTTGAAAAATCAAAAAAAAATTAACAGTATCACTTGTAGTTAGAGAAGTAAAAACAGAAAAAGAAAGGAGAGAGCAAGGGTAAGAAGGGTATGGAGACACAAACGAGGGAAGGTGGAAAGGGAAGGAGAGGAAGAGGAGGAGAAACTGCATGTATTGTG